TTGGATCTTGTGGAGCCGGATGCTGTGAAGCTGGATCTTGTGGAGCCGGATGCTGTGAAGCTGGATCTTGTGAAGCCATGGTGGTATCTCCTTGGCCAAGGATCATGGTCTTCTCACTGTCGGAGCGCTCCAATTGAGATGACATGTCAACAAAGTGGCAAGGCAAACTGGTGGTCGCAGGATTGCTAGCCAGAAAAGCTGCAAGGTGCAAGGTTCTCAAAGTGTATACATGAGATACTCAAAGTACAATGGTAACTACTCAAGTGATTATAAAGGTTACCGCTCAAACATCAAGCCACTGCAGTAAATCTCTCAAAACATTGGTTGAAAAGGATCTATATAGATTCAGTGTTTCCCCAAAAGGTTCATAGAAAGTGCGTGTCACAGGTCTCTCTCAAAGGTTCTCAAAGGTCTTTCTCAAAAGGTCTCAAGTCTCTCTCAAAGTGTTCTCTCAAAGGTATCTCTCAAGGTAGCTCTCAAAGGTATGCGCAGTATCCTTAAAGGTGTGCAAAACAGAAAAGGTTTGAAGCATTTGTTGACGCAACTGTACATGACACACTGCAATTCAAATGACTGCAAGAATGACATATACTGCAATTCAAATGACTGCAAATGAAATGGGTGCAACAAACAGCAGCTGAAGAACGGACGACTGCGCAGCTTTTTCAACACACTCGAAATGCTCTTATCCTATAGCTGCCGCGAACCTCTTAAAGGCTCATGACCGCCTTCTGCTCCTTCTCCTCGATCGCCTTCCCCTGCTCCTGCTCCTGCTCTTGCTCCTCCTGGATCGCCTTCGTTTGGAAGATTTCCTTCGTCTGCTCCTTGAATCTCTCCGACTCCTTGAAGGGCGACGTGAACGCTCAGCAGGCGCTCGACGAAGAGGAGGTCGATCAGGAGTTGGACTGCAAAGGCCTGGGCCAAGCGTTGCAGTCACAAGCTCTGGCTCAGAAGACTCCTCCTTCACCACCAAGAAGGCCTCGATTTTCGGCCTCTTCTTCTCCTCCTTCTGCTCCTCCCGCGTCTCCTCTTTCAAGATCTCCTCATGGTGCTCCTCCCCCGACTCCTCTTCCTCTTTGAGGAAGAGCTGCAAGTAGTACCCCAGCTGAGGCACCTCATCGTCATCCTGCGGGTCGTATCCATCTTGTAAACAAAGGCCATCCTCCTCCAGCTCAGGCGCATCAGCTGAAGCTGCAGCTGTAGGCTTCGCTGGAATTGCCGATGGCCTTGGTCCATGCCATGGTGCGCCAACAAGTGGAGGAGGAGCTGGAATGCCGCTTCCAAGCTTTGGGTCACAGGGAGCAACCGGAGCAACAAAGCCTCCCATCAACGAATGGTCTTGGGTTCACAGGATGCAAGCCCATGGTACCAGGTGGTGGTACACAGGGAATTGGAGCTGCTGGCGGAAAAAGGAAACACCGGGCCTGTGGCTGATCCTGGCATACCTGGAGGTGGACCAGGTGGTGGCGGCGGCACAACTGCGTGCATAGGTGCCAAAGGTGCCGGAACTGTACCAACTGGTGGCATAGGTGCCGGAACTGTACCAACTGGTGGAACTGTACCAACTGCACCAACTGGTGGCATAGGCATAGGTGGGGCAACTGTAGCTGGCGCGGTACCTGGAATCGTAGCTGCAGCAACTGCGCCAACTGTTGACATGTTGGTCCGTGGACGGGCAACCTCGGCTGCAAGTGGTGTATTGCATACCTGATCGATGATGCGACCGTCCCGCTCACCGATTGCATTCTCCACCTTTTCTGCTGCGTCGTGCGACAGGTAGGCATCAGCGATTGAATTCCCCGGCCTGAAGATCTGCACGCGGTACAGTCCATCTCCAAGCCCCAGATCAACCAGTGCTTTCTGAAGCACTTGAGATGACACGTGCGGAATCAAATTCCGCAAAAACACTCGGTGCGACTTGGCCTTTTCGAGGTGGAGGATACAAAACCGTCTTAATTAATGCGGGCTTCATGTATCAAATGTGTAAATTGTCAGGATGGTGAGAGTCCTATATAGTGACTTTGACCGGTCGGTACCATATACTGTACATTAAGGATGGCACTGCATGGTGTGTTTTTGCAATGCTGCCTGACAGGCTTTTGTGGTCGCATAATTTTCAACATTGTACACCAGTATGTTTCTTGCACATATGCCATATATACTCTGTGAACCCAAAGCCCTCTGTCACGCGCAACAATCTCTCAATTTGACAGCAGTGTGAAGTTTACTGACTTACGTGAACAACAACTATATTGTGAATGTCAATATTCAGAGCAACAGCTGCAAGGTCAAAGCGCACAAGCAAGGTATACTCACACGGTTTCAAAGGTTTTTCAACCGTCTCTCCCTCAAAGGTCTCTCAGAATAAATAGTGGCGTGACCTGACAAATACTTGGTTGCGCAAGAAATCCTGAGTGAAACCCTTTTGTGAAAGAAACCTTAAGAGAAAAGGCACTTGTGTGACAGAGTTCACGCACAACAAAATGCTCTCAGAGTAAACTCTCATGGTCTCTCAATGGTCTCTCAAACTGTGAGACACAGCCACAACTTACATGGTGAAAACATTCAACTGTAAATCGAACGAATCACACCTGCAGACACTGCTTCTTTTTTACCAACACAGCTGCCAAGAATTCCAGCTACATGTGAAATCTCAAAGGTGAACATAGTGCGCAAATACCCACACGGTCTTCATGGTCTCTAGTCAATGTCGACAGGCTTGCTGGGCTTGCCCTCAAGTTCTGAAGGTCGTCGCTCCGGCTCCTTGGCACGCGCGCGCTTTGCAGGAGGCTTGGGCTTGGTCTTCTTCAAGTCCTCCTTCTTCTCCTTGATCTCACTTGGAGGACTTTGATCTGATGGCCACCTCTTGTCGAATTCTTCTTTGACCATATCTCGAGCTCCCTTCGCAAATTCCAAAGCCTTTTGATGGTTCCCATCGTAGTTTGGATGGCATTTGTAAAGATTCATGGCTGCACCATGGCCTCTGCTCTCCACTCGATGCCTCCAAACTGATCGTTTCTCATCAGTCCCTTTCATTCCATCAAAAAACGCTCCTCCACGCAAAAGGAACTCATTGGAGATGGTGGCTCCTCCACATCCTCACTGTTGCGGTTCACATCCAAAGTGGCACTGGGACGCTTCATAGGCTTTGACGTAGTCTTCACCTTAGCCTTTTGGCTTACTTTCTTGGCTGCGCTTTCCTTGGGCTTGCTTTGATTTGCCTTTTTCTCTTTCTTCTTTTTGCAGCGTGTCTTCCTCTCCACTGTCCAAGGTAGTTGGCATGAGAAAAGATGCGCCTTTCTTCATGGTCACTTTCGATGGTGTGTCGGTGGAGCGTCCTGCACTAGCCGTTTGGCCTCCCTTCCACGGTTCCCCAAACTCATGGTCATCCTCGTCTTCGGACTCCGGCCTGTTGACAATCTTCTGGAAGCTTCTTTGGGCTGATCCTCAAAGCCGGTTTGCGTGGTGGTGGAGGTGGATCTGGCAGAACAACCTTGATCTCAGGGGAGGTGGTGGTGTGTCTTCTGCATCAGACTCCCTGGAATCACATTTGCGCAAAAGTACTAGCACCGAGTTGATAGCCTCCTGAGTCTCAGAGTCAGCCCTTCTGCAAGCCCTTTCTTTTGCGTGGGAATCTTTGGCCAAATCTCGATACTGTTTCATAGCTGTTCTCACAATGTTGTCAACCAGGTCAACATAGCCTGAAGTACTTTGCTTCGAGAAGTTGCACTTCATTTGTTGGTCCAACCTTTCAATAGCAATCTTGTTCTTCTTGGGCGGCAACATACTGTTCGGCGCAATATAGCGTTGAAATAGTGGTGCATGTTCTGACAAGAAGGTGATATCTGGCACACTTTTCCATGAGAAAGTTGGTGACACGTGGAGCAGCTTGATCAAATTTCTATCGCCCTTCTCCTCCATGTACTTGGACAAGGGTTCCATCAAGTCTGCCTATGCTAGGGTCAGCGGATAGGCGAAAGCGAGGTTGCTTCAACATGGCCATTTTGGCCACTGAAGGGTCAACAGCAAACACAACTCAGTAACCACAATATAGTACCACAAGCTTCTTCACTGAATACTATTTTTAACTGTAGAGTATAAGATCTCCTTCAAAATGCATGCAACTGCATGTGCTTGAGTAAAGAGGCGTAGGACGCAAAGGAAAACACATATGTGTTTCGATGCTGTATATGCATTGAAGACTTGAAGAATGACATAAATGAATGTGAACTTCAGCCAGACTTGAACCACAGTGGTTGTATACCCAAACTCACCAATGCAAACTACATGACCAAGAAAAAGCTGACTCTCAAGGTTCTCTCACAATGTCCTCTCTCAGGGTTCTTGCTCTCAGTAGGTCCTCTCTCACAAGGTTCTCTCAAGGTTCTCTCAATGTCCCTCACTCTCACAAGGTTCTCTCTCACAAGGTTGTTTTCGTTTCTCCCTCTCTCAAAACAATGACTGCCACTTCTCTCCTGCGCAGGCTGCGTTTTGCACAAGTTCAAAATGCCTCCAAACAATCACCTAGTGAAAGAAAAGTATATGCTGTCAATCTCCAAGCACGAACTGTCACAACTTATGCGCGTCAAGGGTTGTTTAACATAAGTGTCTCGCAATGCTCGTTTGGAAAAAAATGCATAACTAAGAGCAGTCGAAAGGTTGATCAAACTTCGAAGTACACCCTTCGAAGTTTCAAGTAAACTTCGAAGCGCACCCTTCGAAGTTTCGAAGAAGTTTGGTCGAAACTTCGAAAGTTAAATTTTTACGATTTAGTTAAATTTTTACGTTCTAGTTAAATTTTAAAAATAGTTAAATGTTTTAAACTCATTTTAGTTAATTTTTTAGAAAATAGTTCAAACATAATTTTAACTGTTTCTTAAAAATTTAACCTTGTCGAAATACGATTTAGTTAAATTTACTAAATTTAGATATATCCTATTTGTTTAACTAAGCCGGTCTATTGGGTAATACAGTCATGTGAGTCACGCGCTCCCCTTCGCCTTCGTCCTCTTCGCGGGGCTTTCTTGAAAATCTTCTGCCCCCCGTTTTGCCTGGCTGCGGGATGCGAGTTAAGCACGGTGTAGTGGGATTCCGAGTACTGTATATAACATTTTCACTATCCTGGAAGAAGCGTGAGCTATCCGTCTGATGTTCGTTTCATGTGTTTTTCTGCGCTTTGTTCATTTTTGTTTTAAGGAGCCAAGAAAGAACCCCAGACACGATCAGTCTGAGACTGGCCGGTTGACCGATCAGTTGAGGACGCGCACCCCTGGGAATAACCATCAACAACCTTCCAAGTCAAGGCCAACGGTTGAAAAGAACTTTGTTTAAATGTCCAGTTTTTGTCAACCCGCGTTTGAGGTAGGAGCAGGACATCTTTGGCTCTACGGCCTCCAAAATCGCCAAGGGTTCGGGCAAAACAAGGACTAGATTTAGACTGAATCAAAGCTCAGGGCGGGTCATTAGATCTAAAAAGATCTAAACTAAGGAGATTCTGTCGCGCGCGCCCGCGAGCAACCGAAGGCTTCGGTTGTGGCCACCCTCTCCTTGCAAGGCTTTGGCCTCGAAAGCCATAGCAGTCTGAATGGATTCGGATCGTTGGGTGGTCGGGGCTGGGCGATGTTCGGCAGAATCCGGATGTGAAACAAAGCCTTGATGCAACGTACTACAATAGCAGTATCCCGAGCCGAACCAATGGATGTACATTGATTTTCCTTATGACAGGGATGTGTTGCTTTTGCGATCTTTGGGAGGACTTGCAGAATGAGCCACTAGACTCGCCCTTCAACCAAAAGCCAAGTTCTTAGCTCCACCTGGACGTCCTTTGATCAAGTTGCTCAAAGGCAGGCTTCTTGGCCCAAGTGGCGCGTACAGGATCTTACAAATCAGATCACTCCATTCCACCGGCGCACAGCTGTGTGGCCAAAAAGAAACCGGAGGAACATCGGATCTCAGGGGTTCTCGAAATCACGCTGGGGCCGCCGGCTGGCAAGAGTTTCCATCAAACACCAACTGGCCAAGCAAGCACTTGGTGGTGACCTCCTTGGTGCGATTGAACATCGCACAGCAGGAGATGGAAGATGGTGCGAGACCCCCAACAACCAAGTTCAATCAAATGCAGCCATTATGCTAAAACTCTCTCCAAGGTGGGCGCTCAAATGTTTCCTACCAATGGAATCGTGTAGAGCGATGATCCGACTATCTGTACGGACCAGTCCCGGCCGTTCTCGCCCATGGCGGATCCGGTTTTCACCCGGACCGGTGGGGCGCCACACGTTGAGAATCTTTAAGACATGCCCATACCATGCCAGGCTCCTCCCTGCGCTCCAAATGACATCCAAATTTGATGATGGGGACACCAAACTGCTCCGAACAGGTGTGTCTTAAAGCGAGAGCTCTGGTCGCACTTCTCTTGCAGACCACTAACGCAGAACCATAGGGCCAGGGGCGCCCAGATCATCTTCGAACAATTCTCACCCTGCCAAGCTTCTCCAGAGTAGCCGGCATTCACCTCTCCACACGGGCCGGTCAATGTCTCGTCGTGCACCAAATCCTGCAATTGACCCCACGTTTGCCCCTTAAAGTCCTAGTCTGGTGAACGTCAGAGTGTGAGTTATGTTTTAAGTGTTCAATGCGAAGTGTTAAGTCGAGTGTGTTGAGGCAGTGTGTGGGTCTCTGTGTGTGCCCCTTGTAGTCACAGGGATTCTTTTGAATTGTTTTACTCAGCAGGGGGACACAGCATTTCACTGGGACTGTGTCCAACGAAGCTACCAGTGAAATGGGATATCCAGCTTGGCCAGCTGGTCGTACCTGCAATTTTCCAATTTTCCGAATGGCGTGAGGCTAAGCCCAGAACCTCTTGACATGATTCCTAAGTAGCCGCAGACTTGCACGCTACGACGTCAACTTCGTCGATCGTCCTCTTCTTTTGTGGGCCTCACTTCCTCTTGAAGACCTCCAGGATCCAGTGGTTCATACGTGTACCCTTAGGAATTGGAACCCTAGGCCGGCGTGTGGCGCCGCTTTCAGTTCCGTATGCATATCCATAAGTGTGTTTGGCCTCGCGCCAACTGCCTCCCGTAGACCCGTCGAACGGGGGTTTGTCGTTGTTTCCCTTGCTTTGGAAACGTAAGTGCCCACAGCGGGCGAAGCTGGCTCATGCCACCAGAAGTTGGATATTTGTCTCAATTTTGGAATTCCAAGTTGGCTCATGCCTTTACGTGACCGCAGCGGTCAAAGCAGCCAGCCATCTTGGCAGGGCACAAGGTGACCACAGCAGTCAAAGTCAGTTTTAGGTTCATTGGAACCTGTCGGAACACACCGGGCTGCGCTATATTCAAGAGTTACTCACCACCTTTGGCATGATCCACGCTTTAACCTTTGAGACTGCTCAATTGGACGCCGAACTACGTGGACGCACCACCTTCCGAGATCCTCGTCTTCCTTCCACTCCTCCTTGCAGCTCCCGGCTCTCGGATGCCGCAACGAATGACTCCTACCAGTCTCAATCCAGATGATGCTCCTTCGCGGATGACTCGGACCTCTTCCACCTCACGACCTACGCATGGAATTGTCGTCACTACTTCGAACCGAACCCTCTCTACTGCTGAGATTCGACTGCGCATCGCTCCCGTTCTCGATCAAATCCGAGTATTACTCTTCCCCCTCGACTGGTTTGCCTGAAAATAAGCTAAGATCTCTCAGTTTTCTCGGCTCACATGTTTACACCTTGGCAATGTACCTTTTTACCTTGATCTTTACGTTGGCTCGCCTACGCCCTACTCGTCTTTCGTCCGTCGCCGCCTTGCCGCCATGTCTTCTTCGACATCGGCACCACACTCTCTTCCTACAGGACTTGCACCAGTCGCTGGACTACCTCTTGCAGCTCATGCCGTACTTCAACGGGAACTTTTCCACATACATTCTTCTTTGCGCCTGATCCTCCTAATTCTACGAGGACCTTGGGACACAATGACTCCTGCCCTCGCAGACACCATCACTTGCCCACGTCTTAGCGCTACCCGGTACCCTTCGTGCACTGGAGACCAGTATTGAGCAGATCAAACGAGCTACCTGTACCACCTTGAAGGTCTACACGGATCAGCCTGCCCTGGGCTTGCTACACCCTATTCAACGCTTGACTGCCCAGCGCCGTGATCAGACCATCTTTTTTTGCCACACCTGTTTCCCCTCCCTCTCCCTCCTCTTTCCTGGCTCGTGTGATCATCTCTCCACCCTCTCCCCCACTGGATCCTCCGACGTCTACATCGACGACTACCACTGGATCACATCCTCCTCCTCCCACCATTCACTCCTATCCTTCCATCTTGCTTCAAGATTCGACACTGACAAGGACGACACGCTCTCGTTCCCGTTCTCCTCCACGCCGACGTTAGGTCTCACACACTTTCGATTCGGCGTTTGCACAAAAGTTGACGTTTGGACCGCCTCCTTTTTGGTCCACACATGGATCTGAACAGTGTCACACTCTCCACTATGTCACAGATTGATTTCTCCTTCTTTTGTATCACTTCCTCGGCTCACAGCAACCCGTCCGTTTCGAACCGATTCGATCCTCCCCTTCTGCCTCTCGCCATGTCTGCTACGCCTTCTCCGCCCTGTGGCCTCGCACCGACTCCAGGTATACCTCTTGTTGCCCAAGCAGTCCTACATCGGGAACTTCTTTGTGTACATGCTTCGTTGGCCCACATCGACACCATTCTCCACCAACCACTTGCTCTTCGATCTACTCCACTTCTTGATCGAGTGACCCATCCACACCTCCGTGCACAACTTGAAGGCCTGGACAACACTCACTACTTGCACTTCGGGTCAATCACACCGCCATTCACTACACCCACGAACTTCTCACCGCATTGGGCCTCCTGCATATTCCACATCATAGTCCAGATCAACTTGAAGCTGAACTTCAGGGCCGCACGGACTTCGGCGACCGCGCACTTCTTTCTACTACCTCTTCGATCACTACTGTTCACGGCGTCCCCATCTCCGCAGGTCGACCTTCGCCTCTCTCTTATCCTGAATTTCCTTCTACACCGACTTCTTCGTTGACTACCAGGATTCACAACACCTTTAACCGGGTACCTCCATCTTCGGGGCCACCTCCTCCTGGCACTGTACCTCGCACCCGACTGATCGCTCGCTCTCGGTCCCGCTCTCGACCTCGGTCGACCAGTCCTTAGCTTATGCGTTTCACCCCGTACTCTCGCGGCCAAAACAACCAAGCGCACGATGACCACGCACTGACTCTTGCCTCTTTCTACACGTGTTTTGACTTTCGACTTACTTCACTTGTACTTGATGTCCTGCGGCTCCAGCTGTTCTGATTTGACTACATAGATTTTTGCATGATCTTCATGACCTTCATGCTTCGGATGTTTTGCCACTTTCCTGGATTGTTGACATTTCCTCCTGGATCATGGCGAGCTCCGCTTCCTCTCCGGAATCCCATCGAGCTCCCCGCGGACGACGTGAACCTGGACGCAGTTCCAGATCACATGATGATGTCGATTACAGTGCTGATGAAGCTGATGCCCTCCGCCAATTGCCAGCGGCCCTCCAGTTCCAGATCCACCGCAACCCCCTCCCAACACTGGCACCGGCGACACCTCCACCCACGCCACCACCTCGCGACCACCTTTTCCCCTACGTCCTCTGGCTTCACACCTCCCATCCATTTCTTGTCCCATTCCCATCCCTCGGCCACGGGCTCTCTCTCACCCTCAATTTCCACCATCGCCACCCGCTCCCCAATCCAGAGGCAGAAGAACTTCGACAACTACGTTTCCAATTTCAGCAGCAGGCCGTTCATCAACAACTTCAACATCAAGCTCTACTACAATCTCCATACGGGCCTTTATTCCCAACTTTCCCCACCCGCACTCCCGCCCCCATATCAATCGCCATTCCGACACCTTTGACCGCCTCCAATCCTGATTCTACGCAACCCGTACCCGCCCCAGCCACTTTGACCAACGCTCCGCCCGAACCAGCACCCGCAGACCCAGCGCAGTCCACGCCGACCAATCGCTCCTCCCATCGGCTCGACCGACCTGCGACTACTCCAAGATGGACCCTCCAATGGCTGCGTCGCACTCCCAATCCCACCAGTATGGAACACTCAGGCGAATTGGTCTACTTGATGGGCAACATTGTCGAGATTCGTGTAAATTCCGGTTTTTAGCAACACATTTGGACCACACCTTTTTGGCTCCACATTCCTCACGAACTGTGGATGGACATCCACGAACATGGCTTTCGTGATTGGTTTGATCTCCTCAAGCTCGTCGACAAATATAGCGGTGACCTCACCAATCATCCTGATCGCCCGTGCAGCTGGGAGGCATGCGAAGCTCCTGAGGTCTTACCGCGCACTCTGGTGGACACCACTGTTGAGGAACTTATTCGTCTCCTTCCATCTCCTCTTCGTCGGATTCCTACGACAGATTGGGGTGAACTTTTCGGCAACTTCATGACTCACATCGCCCATGTACCTGCCATCATTGAGCGCAATCCCCTTTCTTTGGGGGAAACTTCCCTGTGGACTATCCCAAAACCGAGCACTTCCGCTGGACCCCGCCACAATTGTCCAGCTATTTCTTTTTTCCAGGGATCCTTACTGACGGTGTCATTCGTCCCAGCTCCTGGAAACATGCTCGGGAATCCGATTTCTTTCCCAGCCTTGGTTTCTACTGCCGGTTCTGCTATCCGGGTCATGGCCATTTCAAAGACAACAGGATCAATTCCGCCATTCTTGGTCAATTGACACCCGAACTCCAGCGCGCTCTTCATGTTGCCTGTGGATTTGGAGGTCGCTCCGCATCTCGACGATGCTTCGTGGCTGGAGAGCGCTTCTCCCGCCAAGCCGTTCACTATGTCGTGAAAACGGGTGGTCTTCCTTGCGACGCCATCGCCAGCCACTTCTATGATGTTGTGAGGAACCGATCAGATCGCAGGTACAAGCGCCGCAGCTCTTCCAGTCAGATTCAATATGCTGGTTTGTTCATCGGTACTGACGAGTTGCCCTCCTACGGCCTCAGTCAAGCTGATATTCCTCTATGATCTCTACATCCAGCTGTACCATAACTTGTAGCAGCGTTGCGACTTCAGGTCGCCATTTTCTGCCACCGGAGCGATCTTCCCCTGGAAAACGATGCCACTTTCCGCTTTTCTTGTCTTTTCTTTTTTACACTTTCCTCACATTATCGGTTGTTCACTCAGATCCACTTCGTTTTCCCTCTTCATCCACTTTCCACCTCTTTGGCTCAAGCTTGCCTCGACCTCCAACCCACCCGCACCTGTACCTTGTCAGCTCGTACAGCTATGGAGGCCTCTTTTTGGACCACATTGGACACACCCTCAGCAGGCTCCATTGAGGATCATCAACCTCCTGATCTCCCGACGCTCGCTTGTGGATTCGATTTCTCGTTCCTTGGAGGTACTACTTGAGATGCCCGACGCTACTATGTTCCCTCTCGGACTCCCACCGGATTTGGAACAGATTCTTCGGGATCTACATGCCTCCACTGAACG